TCCACGTACCTGTAATTTCACCAGTATCCTTACCCTTTAAAACTGAAACGCAGTAACGCTTACAAGGCGGCTGGAATAGGTAAGGTGGCAGTACTTCCCTGAATGAACTCTTTTACAAGGAGCTCTACGCTGCTACCAAATGTTCCTAAGTCATTGATATTATTTTTACTGAAGAATGTAATTTTATTTTAGAAAGTCTGAAAGGAGAAACTGACTATATATGGATATGAATTTATAATTGAGCATATTATTTTTGGAAGTGAATAACGATAATACCCATTAGGTATAGAGGTATATAAGCTAATAAAGCTTGTTATTTCGATACCTCCAATTAACACTATGTCAACTTTATTTTTTAGTCATTTTCTGTTATTTTTGTAAATGGCCATATATATTTACTAATATTATGTCCCCCGAATTTTGTGGAAAAAAACAAAAAACAAAATAAATAAAGAACAGGTCCAAAAATTAAATTAGCGTAGTGTTCATAGGAGGTATCGATTTGATGAAACATTGTACAATATACCTGATATACGTATCACATAGGTTAAAAGATAGGACAGGAAGATACGCGGTGCTTTGTTTTCACGGGCCTATAAGTGAACCTAGTAGACCTCTATAAACATGTTAATGAGTTTTGTACGTTGTTAGTAGTACAAAGTATAAAATCTATAAAGTCTGTTGTAAGTCGTTATTACAAAACAATCTAAATGTTGCGAAAACATAAAAATGTTTATGACTGTAGCTGGAGCATAGAGGGAAGTTTTACGCTTTTTTGAAAGTTGAATGTTCGCCGTACAAATGCTCTTCTTTTTATCTTTGAATTGTTAAGTAGTGTTATGCATATAGGTGAAACAGCCCCATATCTTTCTACATTACTTTTGATTATAGTGACCCTCCCTCCCTATCGACCCTTAGGGTATACGAGAAGGCCACTATAACCGGTGCGCGCACAAGAACCTTCTAAGTTTCGGTTCTGACCCCAGATCAGCCAGTGTATAGGGTTGTCAAAGACCTCTGTCACTTGATTTTATCCGGTGCTTCGAGAGGCTAGTGCCTTGGGCAAGCCGCCGCGGGTGCATGTACAGCGCCCTCCCTATTTTCCAGAAAGGTAGCGGAGGTGTAGGCACATTCAATACCCGTCGCGCTCTGCACGACTAACGGTTGCCACCGCTAAGCCATCGACTCTGAGTCCACTACCAAATCTCCTATATCTATCAAATCTCTATAGAGGAAACGTTTGGTAAAAGTAATTCATTGTATGTATAGTACAATTTAGTAGCTGTAGAGCTCCTTGTGAAAAAATTCGGGAAGTACTGCCATCTTACTTATTTCTGCCGGCAAGCCGTAATGTGAGCATTGCTGAGTTCTGGTTTTGAAGGATGAGGATGTTGATGGAATTACAGACACAAGGGACTGGTCAAATTATGTTTCAGGGCGACAGACGATATAGCAGTGCCCCTCAGCTCTTTGTGATTTAAAACTTACTGGTACTGCAACTGTCATGGATGGGCGTGTCGCTTACTACCAGGCGCACGACTTGTGTGTCCCCTCACTTGATATCATTAAAAAATTGCTTTTAACCGTTTGCGTTGAATTATACTAACATTTCTTATGTACATATCATCACGCCTGTCTCCCACTAGGGTAGACAGAGACTATGGATCTCCTGCGCTCCTGACAAACCTGCTTCGCTTCCACCACTTCTATCAGTCTCTTTATACATGCCCGTTTATTCCCGTTTTCAAATGTTAGCATAATTTATTTTACATACTCTTGTTACATAACAGCAATTGATTACGATGTTGTATATATATTTTCATAATACTTGAACGTAAATATAATGATGTATGCAGGCTAACACGACTATAATGCTTCAAATAAAATCTTCGGGCCTTTTTTCTTCTCATTATAGCCATGGTCTGTTATGAGAAGAAAAAAGAGTCAAGGTTTATTCGGGGCATTATAGTTAAACAAGCCTGCATGTCTGCGTGATGGGCAGTACGAGAATAACGAACCTCGACTCCAAAAGTCCTCAGTTGTCGACTTCTGGTTCTAAAACAGTTTTGTTCGTAATTCTTTATTTAATTACTTATTTATTTTCTTCTTTTTTTTACACATTCATAGCCTCGCACTAGGGAAACCCTGCAATGAACAGAGACAAACCCAAATTACACCCAAACTCACGAGAGAAATAAATGTAGGTCATACAAGCAGTTCTCTCGGCCTGGGAATCGAACCCAGGACTTCTGCGTGGCAGTCCACACAGAAGATCAAAATAATAACAAATTAGGATGTATTAATTTCAATTACAAATGTGACATTTACATAACTGAATTTTAATTTTTATTGTTTTTGCTGAGGTGAGTGTGGGTGTGTGTGTATGTTCAATTATTTTTTAAGTTGGAAGCTATGTCCGGACATTGTCATGACATGACACTGCGACCAACATCTCTGGTACTACCCAGAGAGCTAGTAGAGGATGAGCTAGGCATTCTCCGGTCCCTCCAGCCGCGTAAGTTTCTGGAAACTGGAGAGACGCCTCCGCGTCTGTAAGTGAGCATGCCTTACAGCGCCGCCACCAAAGAGGAGATTTGGTAGTGGAATTTAGAGTCAACGGCTTAGAGTCAACGCAACGGGAAGTGAGCGTGCCTACACCTACCTATCTGGAAAATAGGGAGGGTACTGTACGTGCTCCCGGGGCGGCTCACCCGACGCACTAGCCTCTTGAGAACCGAGTGAAGTCAGTGACAACGGTCTGTGACAACCCTGTACACTGGCTGATCTGGGGTCAAACCTGAGCATAGAAGGTTCCTGTGCACGTATTCACGTTATGGTGCCCTTCCCTAAGGGTCGGTAGGGTGGGTCACTATAATCAAAACTAATGTAGAAGGGTGCGAGACTGTTGTTGCAGGTATGTCTGTTCTGAATTTGCTTTTTATTTTTCCTTTATTGTATTTCAAGTCCAATAAACTATTTAACTTAAACAAATAATTTAATTTCACTCTCATTTACGATGTTAATAAAAACATTCGTAGAGATAAAATCGTAAATGAAATAGGCACCGGAGATTTATGATCGTACGTCCTTCGGTCGGCAAAAGGATGTTTCTTTAGAATCGCGAATGTATACAAGCGGCAGTAACTACTTTCAGTCAGGTAGGTTATATGCTTCTTTGTCGGTTTGAATCAGAGTGCAAAAATATTTGAACTGTAGGCACAGTTCAAATATTTTTGCACCTTAAAATTTACGGAATAAACATGGTCTCTAAATTTGTCTTTCAAAATTGCGACTTCAGATACCACTTCCAAATTTTAAATTCGTATTCAAAGTTTATCTTAAGTTTTCACCCACACGACTTACGTTGGTTTTAAAAACAAAGAAAAGTTTTTATTAACTGTCATCTTTTTCCAATTAATTAACTAAAAATTATTTTTAGTTAATCATTGGAAAGAGATTAATTGGAATATTATTATTCAATAATGAGCCAAGAAATCAAACTTTTTAGAACTTTTAGCTTTTGTCGGCGTATGTTTCAATATAATATATGCATGTAGCAAATATAGCACAATATTATACAATGAGTATCATTATTGTAAAAAAATGTTATAAATGGAGAAAAATATGTTATCTGTGTATTTATTTATTTAAAGCTTAAAGAAAATAAAAAATTGAGTTTCTCAAATTTTCGGAATTAACATTGTGAAATTTGTATTACTAATTTAATAGATAACAGGTAAATATGCACAGACTTACCATTGCGATTTGCAGGTGATGGAGGATTTGTCAAAGTTTTTTAATTTTACGCGGCGTTTTTAATATTTACACTTATTTAAACTTTATAAAGCTTATTGCTAAACTACAAAACATACACTACATTGGTGTTTTGTTTACTTTCTATTACAGGTGATCTCAATGGAAACTACGATGTGAAGCAAATGTTCAAGCAGTCAGTTTTTTCAACAATTCCAAAGTCACTCTTACACTGTTCTCTAGAAATAGCACGATAATATTTTTACAGCGCGAAACGTAGTAAATATATACATATAATATATATATATTTATACTCAAAATGATTACAAAATAAATGTAGAGTTTTGAGAAAAAATTGGCGTGTTCTATTCTCGCAACTCATAAAACTGGTGTAATATTCGTTGTAGAGTTAATTGCCTACGTAGTGGCGGGCACGGATTTTTAATAGGTGGTGTATACTTTTAAGTTAGAGGTTATTCGTTGTTTAGCGCGACACGTTCGTTGTAGTAAACATGGCAGCGCTCGCAACAGATGACGGAGCGCGGGCGGGCGAGCCTGCGCCGAGCGCTCGCGTTCATCTCATCTCGGGACCTGCCAGAAACCTGCTAAACTTCCCGCCAGCTTGCCGCGCCACCCACTAGCGGCGCCACCTGTACTGACCCTCACGAAAGTTATACTCAATCGCACCCTCTTCCTTGTGTCGGTAAAACAGTCCAAGATTCGTAGCAAGAGAGGGAGACGACGAAGCTGCGAGTAAATCGATTGGTCGTTGAAAAGGGGCGGGGGCCGAGCACGTGGCCATTGCTTTTGTTCCGTAGTGGCGATATACAGAGCTTCCGTTGTATGCCTCTCACGTTCTGCGAAAGCTCTGCGGCCCGCGTTGTGCCGAAAGTTCATCGAAGCCGCCGTAACTTTCAATCTTTAAATTTTCCCTGAGAAATCTCGGGAGAAGGAATTGTAGTAATGTAATGAAGTGTTAATTCCCGACTCTATCTCTTTTATTACTTTTAGTCTGGAAGCTCAAACAATTCTCGGAATTTAAGTCGCTGTTCAACACGGAGCAGTAGTTACCTACTAATTAACTTAAAAGTTCCACAAACGATAATCCTATGTTTTCTTTCTCATGCTATTCCAGTATCAAAATTAAAGGATCGGAACATTCTATGGTGGTTTGTATACAGTTACAGTAAGGCATATCGAGATTGAATCTTATTGAATAGTGGTGAATTATGACTATAAATGCTTACCTGTTTGAGTGCTTGAATCGAAGAAAGTGCTAGTTGTTTCCACGGTCATGGTCCCGATGGTACCATCCAGGATTTGGGTGGAAGAGTCGCGTCGGCCGCGTGCGCGCATGCATGCGTCGTCGCTCTGCGAACTTTGGCGCCGGAAATTTCGGCACCGGATCATCTCTTCTGTCGTAGATTGCCTACGAAATCCACGAGCTATTAAAATTTCTTCCGTCGTAGATTGTCTCCGAATCATTGTCCTTTCCGCCGGCCGAGCACAAGGACTTGGATCACGGCTAGAGCAAGAGCTTGATTCAGGGCTCCGCGCACGTCCCATTCTCGCACACGAGGCTTGCCTCTTCAATCTACTCCTACGTCTAGCAGCAGATGGACTTAGCTCTCCACCTCCAGCTCTGTCCGGACTCAGTTGACCCCGCCTGGGCCTCGCTGCTGAATCAGGACTTAACGAATCTCTCCTGGCATGTCCTTCATCATCAGGACCTAATGACGGCCGCCGTGTTCCAGGAGGACCATTTGGATCATCATATGCAGTAGCTTGCCGTTGTAATCTTCCCAGTCTTCGTTCGGGACTTACAGCTGCGCGAGAATCACGTCTTGTACGGCCGCATTGCGTTGTGGAATCTCGACGGCCTCCTAAATTTGGCGGTGTTCTGCCACTTGGTACAGCTTGAGTCCCTTGTGAGGCTTGGGTTGTTGTTGATGTTTGAACAGTCTGTGTACCACTTGTGGTCGGAATTGTTGGGGATGTAGGTGACGGTGTTACTGCTGAAGTAATTATAGTTGGCATGGTCATTGAGGGACATTCTCCATCAGACCGACTCGGTTCATGGACTTGAACTATTGTAACTGCTGGAGTTTGAGTTGAAGTCCCTGGGTCAGAATCCGCAAAGGATGGAGGAGCAGGCGTTGGTGGTGACGCGCGTCTTTTTCTGTGTGTAGCTACGATTCTCGGTGGTGGAGCTGCTACAGAGTCACGTCGAGTGCGCTGGCCATCTACAGAATCTCGACGTTCCTTGGTGTCTTCTCTTGAGCCACGTCTTTTAGAACGCCTTTCTCTGGTTGGCACAACTGTTGTAGAGTCTCTGCGGTCCCAATAATTGGGAAAATCAGCATGAAAATCTTGTTGAGCAGCTTTTGAGTCTCGACGTTTGGAATTCATTGATTTTATGCCTGAGTCGGCAGATGAATCACGGCGACGTCTTACGGGGGGCTCGTGACGCGCCCAAGGCAGGGAACGTGCGAGGTCGGCCAAGGTTTCTCTTCGGGAAAGTGGGGCTCTTTGCTGACGGCGAGGTGCACCACCACCGCCCCACTCGCGAAGAATGTCTGTCAATTGAGCCAGGGAAGATCGACGGCGACGAGGAGCACCTAAGATTAATAAATCTGTAGTTATGATATGAGCTTTGGTTTTAAAAAAATTAAATATTGAATTTTTTACATGAAGTGAAAATCTCACCCCTGGTCTGTTCTGCATCGGGTTCTGGCGGTGACAAGCAAGACACCTGTGCAGCGGAGTCTCGTCGGCTGCCGAGTCGCTGACGTAAGGTGTTTTCCTCGAGTGTCGAGCGCGTCAGCTCGTCCCATCCGTTGCCTCCAGCCCACACCAATCCCACTTGGTGAGATAGTATCGGAAGGTTGCACACGAAACATATTGCGGTCATAGTCCTGTTAAAAGAGAAAAATAACTTAATAACTATAAAGAGACGCAAAACTGGTTTATGTTTGGATAAACTTGCTGTTTAGGATCTCCATTTGTTTTGTTACAGATAGTGGTGAGCTGTAGAACTGCAATGTGAAATTTACTCACGCTTTGTTATTGCGAAAATGCGTACCGGAATACATGTCTGTAGTGTGCTGTATGATGTCGCACTGAATGAGTGAGGTATTCAAAGCGTATCGCGCCCTTGTGTTTGCATCACTGGGCTGATAACTGCGATATTAAGTAATAACCGCAACCCATACTTCTCGTTTATATGTAATACCTACTTATGTAGTATGTTTTCTATATTCAATTGGTTTAATATACATTGTATTTGTTATCGGTAAAAGTTGTCAATACCAAAACAGTCTCGAAAGCTTTGAATTTATCAAATGATAGTAAAATTGAGTTATTTAAAAGTTGAAGTTACGGCTTTTAAATTTCGTTATGAGGAAATTCTATGCATTTCCATTACCACATAATAACCAAATCATAGTGTTATTACAGAGAACAAAAAAGTAACGAGAACGGACACTCTCCGCCCCTCTCTAGCTATAGATGCCGTACCACACCCCGCACATTGACGGTCACATAGACTGAACGGCATTAAGGTTGTCGGTGAGCCGTTTTCGCGTTAAGACGGCTTTGATTATTTGAATATAGTTTTCTTTATACGTTAATATATAACATCATTTTACGTTACTATTTATAATGGTTGTGAATTGTGCTGTGTAGGCCTGTTTTGTCATCATCTAAACGGGATAAAGAGAGGAGTTTTTTCGTTTTCCGAAAGATGAAACTAAAACAAGTAAAAAAAACTTGTCTGAAACTCATTAAATTATTGTTTTCTTCAAGTTTCTTCAATTATTCTGTCATTAAGTAGTGCAGAGTAATACATAATACAGACGTATTATATCAGTATATAATGAGACGCCTTAACTTCGTGAACTAGTAGACAAGGTTCTCGAATTTGTATTGACGATAAATATTACGTAGTGAATATACCTAATTATTAACTAAACTCTGAGATGAAATCAAAGTCAAAAAATGTAAACAAAGGTGATGCCATTACAAAAAATGTTCCACGAATAGTGGAACAGTGAAAAGGGCTAAAAATCAATGCTAGATGTGTTATATTGTTTTTAAAGGGTGTCCATGTACAAACAAAATATTATCAAATCATATTTTTTATTTAAAACACCATGTTTAATAAGATAATCTCAAAAAAATGTTTCTCGTGTCAAGAAGTAAATGTTATTGAGAATAATAAAATTGAAATAATAAATTGGATAACTGTTAAATAGTGTTAAATTATAATGAACTGAGCAACGAAAAGTCAGTTTTTGGTCAGTAGAGATGGATAAAGGGTCAAGTCGTTGGGTTGCATCCCTACCAGTGCATCACCGCGATTTTTTTCATTCGGTTTCTAACGACTGTCGTTATCGAATGTGTTCCCTGCTGTGTATGCATCGTGTTGTTGAGTTTTTGTTTTTTATTGTTGAGTTTTCGTTTGTGTTTTTTTTGTTAAATTTTGGTTTTACTCTGTTGCTACGTTTGCGTTTGCTTGCGTTCGTGTGAACATAACTACAATGGAGGCTGAACAGGTCCTTCAACAAAAAAATACACTCTTTCACTGTAGAAAAAAAGCCACTATATTTATGACACAATATGTTTCTAAACAGTTTTGTAATTTGTTCAATCCAAAAAGGTATTATTTAATTATAATTTATTAGTCAGAATACAGTGGAACCTGTTAATAAACGAACGTGGAAAAAAGGTTTATGGTCTATGAGATGTCACTTTTACACAGTGATAGTGACAGTTGTTTGTTTACATTTTTTGATTTCGACTACGTCTCAGAGTTTAGGTAATAATAAACTTGGTTACCTTATTTAAAAATACTTGTCCAAAATAAAACATTTTCAATGCTTTTATATTTTTTAAATAAATCTTCAATATTATTCTAGTTAGTGAATTAATGAAAAATATGATATTATATCGATACAAAAACCCAAAGAAAACATTTAATTATTAGGATTCTATTAATAGAAATATAGACAACAGTTTCGCGTTAGAATTTTCGATATGTTGCCGCTCTGACCACGTAACATAATAGTACGAGATAGTGATGGGTAACCCTGCCACTTCACGCACTCATTTGCGCGTGTGCAGATAGCGCCTCGCTATATGTAGTAGTAGTAGTTAATTAACTTTCGACCGTTGTATAGTGTCCGGGGTGTGGTTATTATAAATGTCTTTTTTTTAACTCACGTCAAAATTCTACTGAAATCATATTCAAAAAGTAAATCACTTTGATTGGTAAATCGTAGGTAATAAAACATTGTAAAATAAAAACCAGTACTAAATTAGAGTACACATAATGGATTACAAAAGGGTGCGTTCAATATTCCAATTTTTTCACTCTCTCGCTACGTAATTGCTATTTGAAACCGATTTACTGGTTGTTCTGTTGAACAACGAGTGTGTTGTGGATAACTCGTATCTACAGGGTGTTCGGTTGAATGAATTACACCCTTTGTGTTGTTGAAGGACGATTTGGTATTATGAACTTGTTTTCGTATTCCCTAGAGTGGAAATTGAAGCCAGATCGATTTATCGATGTTCATCAATCGTGTTGCATTGATGATGTTATTTTGTGTAAGGATAAAGATTCTTTCAACTGCTTGTAGTACCTAATCAATTTGTCGTGGACATTCCTTACATTAAAAAAAGTTATAACTATTTTGGAAAAAACGTGGATGTATGTTTTGGTTATGAGGACGATTTGTTGCAATGTTTCACAACATAAGTTTTTATAAAAAAAGCAATGCCATAAACAACGTAATCATTTACTTTGTTTTATTTTTATCTACAAGCCTAAAGTGCGAGCTAGGGTCTAATTTTGAATGTAGGTGCCAATGGGTTAATTAAATCTATCTAATTGTATGCTTTCTTTGAACATATTTTTGTTTTTATGTTCTTTTAACAATGTTCATGCCAAATAAGTGCTTTTTAACAAGTCTGTCGTTTTACATACCTCGCTGTACCTAAAAAGGTTTAACTAAAACTGATCTACTGTGCAATATTATTAAACCTCAGATGATGTTTGATCTTTCGCGTCAGTGTATGTCCCGGTATATGATATTATCGGTCTGCCCTATTAATGATACAATTCTTATAACAAGTTATGAGGCGGATGTTATTCAGAAATTTTCTATCTACTTAACACTTTTGGTATCTGTAGCAAATGTACCATGCAAGTGCAGGAAAGAAGTATGGAAGATGCCATGCAGAAGCATAGGGTGCATGCTCCACTTTTCAGTCACTCTTTGTTTATTGCCAACATGGTGATAAAGATAATTTTGATAGTATATAACTTGTGGGGCATGCTTTCCACTGGGACCTGTAATGCCGCAGACGAGGTGAGGGGGACTGAGGCATGTCGGAAGCCGGGGCATGGGGGTAGAACGCTAACTCAGGGGATATTCCACACACAATATCACATCAAACACTTTGTACATCTGAAACAATAGGATATTTATTAGGGAAAATTATCAGAGAACTTTGATCAGATGCATATGTTTTTATAACAAAGTAAAACCAGAAAAAATTGAAGAAAATCTTGTGTAATAATAAAATTCCTTATTTATTTTCAGTAGTTTTCTCCCATGGACCAATCACAAGTCGTCCTCTGATAATTTATCGAGTTTCCAAAAGTGAAGGCACCATTCTCTATATTACTTTGTCAATGTCAATTATTTGTTTTAACAAGTCTTAAAACAAAGACTTTTAATTTTTGTCAATCACAATGACAATCTCACCTGTCTGTTCTTTTTTCAATTTTATAATTGCGCGACAACAGTTGCCTTTACTTTTCGGAGACAAAATACAAACGTCGTTTAATTACATTAAACAGGTAGTTGTTTATAAAGGGTATTTGTAATACTGTACGTTTATGTATGTAATGGCAAACAAAATAACGTAGATTGGGCAAATATGTAATACCTTATGTTCTCAATATAATTTTAACAACTTTAACTTTATTTATTAAAGATGTACGTAAGAACTTGATGGATTAGAGCAAACAAAACATTTAGTCTCATAGTAACGTTTTATTATTGTTTTAATATTGTAACTAAGTCTTTATAAAACCCCACGCAATAATATGTTTCTCCTTGTAATGTTTATAACAGGTTTTCGTATGTGTTAAAGTGAAAATATTGTATATGTAATTGCTATTGACTTCATTGAATCAATTCATAATTGCGCCATTAATGTCGGAACAAAGAAGATAGAGGGCTAGAGTTGCCCACTTAAACTTACTAAATTTATAATAAAATACTAATGTTTTCAACAGGAGTTACAAGTTTAAATACTTTGAAAACTAGTCGAGTGGTTTTTCACATCAGGTTTTCATGGTGTCGCCATCTCTGAGGTCTCGGTTACGATCCACGGCCAGGTCAATGTACAAAAAATAACTTTGTTTTTGTCTGGGGTCTGGGTGTTTGTGGCACCGTCGTTGTTTCCGATTTCCATAACACAAGTACGTTAGATACTTTGGGATCAGAGCAACGTATGTGATGTGTATTTATATAATATTTATTTATTTCTCCTTGTACCTGCGTGTCTGCATGTCTCATAGTAAGGCGTCGTAGCTCCCAAAGTAATAGACTGACCAAAAGGCGTTTTTTTACTTGAAACTAATTAATTGGGATGTTTGATGTACATCTGCTCAGCATTTTAATCTGTTGAATGAATGGCGCTTTCCCAGTTAGTCTAGGGATCTCAGTCTTAAAATGAATATTTATATTACTCCACATGTCCCGTCTACTTGAAATTTGTTACTCTATGAAAATCCGATGACATTACAATAATATCGTGACCTTGATCTAATTCTGCAACCAGGCCAGTCTGCGGACTACCCTACTCCTCAACGATTTACTGCAGAAATACCGTGTTTGTCTCGACGAGTAGTCGACTTACAAATGGTGACTGTATTGACTTTTTGGAGTCTGCAGTTGGGTATTGGAGTTTTTAAATTTCAATTTTCGTTTTATGTTACAATCTAATAAAGTGCTAACAGAAGCTTCTGGGGTGTAGAGCGACACGTATCTCGCACACTTGAAGTAGGAATCTCTTCCCTTTAAAACAGATTCATTTGCAAGTAGTTCCCAAATATTCCGCTAGACGGCAGTATTTTGATTCGAGTAGCAAGCAAGTCTCCCTGAATGTTTAAACTGAAAATTGTAGATGGCGCTTTCAGTACCAGTACCATGAACTTCAATTTATACTTTCCTTGGATAAGTATTTATAAATCTTGCTTTATTAAATTTTCCATTAGAAAAGCTGAAGACTATGTTATGAGAAAACCTTTTCTTGTGAACAAGTATGTAATTGCGTTGTACTGTGTACTTATTTAAAAAGCTAGCAGTACCTTTGTCTTATGATAAAGAAAAAGAAAGTGAAAATTGTTTAATATGATTATTACAATAACAGAACTAAGCGAATTATCATTAAATTAAATTAATCTTTTTTTTTGTAAAAAATAAGTACGCATTTGACCTTTATCTCACCTGATCGAAAGTGATGATGAGGTCGAAGATGTAGCATGCATATTATTATAAACTTATATTATTATAAATTAATTTAAGATTATATTTAGTCAAAATGACTTGTTACATTGATATCAAGTTTCGTTCAGAGGCTGTTTACTTCACTGTACTGTACGTTGTGTAAATACTGCCTATTTTTGATACTTGCCTATCTAAGGCAATGTGATTTGTTCATGGCGAAACCGCCGTGGGCGCAAATATCGCAAAATTTGATCGAACGAATATGTGTAAGAGCTTTTTGTTCTGTACCTGCTAATACATTTTCATTACACACGTCGATTTTCATTTTGTTGGTCGACCGAATTTGAGCTCAATGAGGATTTGTCGTTTTTCAGAATAGCATTTTAGTCTTAAAAGCAAATTTCCGTTGCCTTTTGTTTTTCCTATTTCCTTTTTGTTTTTGTGTAAAATAATTTTTATTATATTTTTAGGCCTATTAATGTTTAGTTATGAATATAAATTTTAAAATGAAATGTTACATAATTTACACTTGAATATGTATTCTACTCATTAATAATGACTAAAACATAGTATAGATTTGGAAAGTCTGGAATTTTTCCGGACATCTTGTGGTATGTATCGATCTGGTGTAATAACCGAACTGAATAAATCGAGTTACCAAACGTTGCACCGCAGTTTATAATTGTAATTTGAAAATTCCTATATTTATTAATTATTTGCTCTTTTCATTGCACAAGATGAGCCAATTTTGTGTAAGCAAAACATTTGGAAAATCTGCCAGCTAAATCTGGACTGTGTTCGGGTGGCGTAACAAAGCACCTAAATATGTACGAGTGTCTTTATAGAGTCCAGTTTTAAACGGAGCCAGGTAGAATGTTAAAAATATAACGAGTTTGGGAAACGCTATTCAATTAATTATACATGTCTGCCTTTTAGCCAGACATTGCATTTGCAATATGAAAATAAAAAGACGGGATGCGAACACTCGGAATAGAAAGGATGAGAGTAAATAAAAATAAAAATAAAATTTTTCAGTACTTTCCCATTTGGAAGTTCATTGAAAAATTTAATATTGTTTTCTATAGCAAATAAAGTCAATATTTGTTTCATGCTGTTTTATAGGGGTTTGCTTTCAGTCGTATCTCCTTACAGATCACTAATGAAAAATATATGAGTACAAAGTTTGGTGCTAATATCAACAGAAATAAATATGCAATTTTACTTAATAATTGTGAAATAATGAGTATGGCTTTCCTTTATATTTGTGGAATGGCAAACTAAAGTCATATAAATCCCATAGTAGGCAGTGGTCTTCACAAGAGATAGTGTAACTGAGTTTATTGAATGTCAGGTTGTTTCACCGCCATAGTATTCAATTATTTTTTGTGAAATTACTCATCTAGTTTGTTATAATTATTAATAAAAGATCTAACACTACAAAAAATTCGTTCGATCCGGTTGGATTCAAATTAGTGTCTTCCAGCAAACCTTGTTAGACGCTATGCCAACTAAGCCACGAAAGGAACCAGTGGACCTTACGAATTTTTCTCGTTGCAGATCTTTGTTTTTGGTTTTTATCGACTTTTTTGCCATGGCGCCATCTGTGTGAAATCTATAGGGATAAAGTATAACCTAGAAACTTAATAAATGGTCGAATATTTTACAAGTAAACCTATTAGTTTCGTTTGGAATATTTTTACCATTGTAAAAATACGACATAAATATTATAACAATATTTACAATCACTACTAAGTGTTTTCATAATACAGTACCTACAGATTATTTTGTTTCTTAGACATCGGAAAGAAATGACAAGGAAATACCTTTAGTGATCTGATAAGTCTCATGTTACGGGTCTTCAAGTATTATTATAGTCCTTTAGCGAGAAAAATGTTTGCCTTCGCAAGGGAACTTTTCCTCTTTACCTTTTTGCAAACAAAGGGATCTTTGTATAAACAAACGTAGAAGAACATTGGGCTAGCACGGTTATAATGTAACACCTAGAAGCGATAACTTTGCTTTTGTCTTTTTTTGTGTCTGTGCGTATAATTCTCACAAGCAAAGCATGTCAATTTACACAATTACAACTTATACATGAATTTATATTATTAACAATCATCTCCAAATGAATTGAGAATACACTCACTACACCCAGCATTCATGGACACTCCCAGAAGATAATGATTATTGACAAAGTGCAAACACACCTTTTCAAGGCAATATTCGTCCTTCGATCGTATGGAAAGGGTGAAACCGTATCGGTAATTCAATCCAAGTGCGGAAATCGTATTCATGTATTACAGGTTCAATTTCGAATTGTTATGAAATATGTAGCGGCGAGGGTGTGCAAAAAGACTGATTTCGTACTCTACGACACGATATGATCGAGTAACTGAGGCAAGATTGAGCGTTCGAACCTCTACTAATTGGAATGTTAATTATTGCTTGTGTTACGGTAAGAGCAGTAAAACATTGCGAACCGAATTGGCGGAAAAGGTCTATATAACTCGTCGAAGGTACGTGAAATCGATAACTATGGCCTATGTACCATAGCGGAGACGAAATAGACAACAAGGAACTTTGTTTTTGGTTTTAACGACTTTTTTGCCGTATCGCCAAATGAGAAATATATGAAAGGATTTTTTCAGTTACGGTATGGCGAAGTCGCTGATCGAAAAATTTTTTCTTTATGTTCGATCTTTGTGTTAATAATTAAAAGAAACTAGTGGCGTGATTGCAGAAAAATAATTGAATATCATTGTAGTAAAACATCGATGACAACAATAAACTTAAGATCACTGATAACAAGGAAACTAAATAGTATCGAAAGAAAAATTACGTATCCCTAATTTTCGTTTTCAAAATAAAATAATTTATATTTACA